CTCCATCTTTCTTTCTATTATAATTTTTATTTTAGAAAATCATTTCTTATGAAAATATATCATTGGTCAAAGTTTAACTTGATTTTATTTTATAAATCATTTCTTCAAATATACATCATTGGTCAAAGTTTAATTTGATAGACTGTGTGAGTGATTACTTTGAAGACACTTTATGACATGGGTTTTTTATTGATACATAAGTCGATCAAATCACTAATATTGTGTGCATACTCTGAGATTTGTATATATATACTTTTTTTTCTGAGATTTGTGTATGTATATATAAATATATATATAATTATATATAAACATAAATATATATATATTGCTTGATGTAACCTTAATTTGGCTTTCCCATATATTAAAATTGGCATAATTGATTATACATGTACAATTCCATTTTCATCTCACTTCTATGCAATATGTTTTTAACCATCTCATAAATGGGACTATAGGTGAAAAACTAGTTTGTGCAAAGTAAAGCGAAATCATATAAACCACACATCTTTTATTTAAAAGGGGTGTGGAGATTTTTGTGAGGCGTAACTGCGTAAGAATTAGTTCTTATACAATTAAATGTAGTGTGTACTAGTCTTAGATGATCAATTGAGAATGTAAGTAACATGTCACCAACTCAGTGAAAAGGAAATATGATGAGATCAAATACAAGAAATTACCAGTTTTGGAATAAATGCTGCCATTGAACTCACAGCAAAAGATGACAAGGCCCCAAGACTGACTAGAGTATTCATGTTTGGTACCCCTCTAATGAGACTTTTCAGACCATCTATGATAAGTTGTCGACCAGGAATAAGCAATGTAAATAAAGACACAGACATATGAAATCCTGTAGAATGGAGTGCATGAATCCATGAAGCCTTAGCTCCAAAGAAATGAGGAAGATGACCAACAAGGCAGACGGCACATAGAGCCCAGGAAACAGCAAGTCCGCGACCTGTTGAAAGCTAAATGGTTATTTGGTTAAGTTTCGATAAACAGAGAAAATTTTAGGACAACTTTCCCACATCGTAAACTTTAAACGAGGTAAATACCACTAGTTTGTAGTTGAGCACGCTTTTCATTCATCTTCTTCTCAAATCTTTCAAACAAGATATCTCTTCGGGAATCTGCATTGAAATGGGTATCCAAATTACAGAATTTAAGTTCAATGTTGTATTATCATAGTTAGTAACACTATACAATCACAAGGAGATAAAAAAACATCTAAAATTGGATTAGCAGAACTGGAGACCTAGAGCACATTTGGGTCAAACATTAGTTCTAGTAGTTCGAAAATTCTCAGTGACAAGAGCAAGATGGTCTTTTAGTGAGCCCAGACAGACATAAGCCATTGATTACTATCAAAAGCTTTTTATCATTTTCTAATAAAATGGATGAGTTAAAATATATAAAGTATGAATTATCAGCTTATTTTTGTGGAAGGTAAAATAGTGTATGAATAAAACCAAGCCATTACACCCCACAAAATAAAATTAAGGAAAAAACTGGACATAATTAGCCCGCCATGGCAGTGCCTGCCTACATTAATCAATTTGGGCAAAGTCATGCTGGCAAGATGCCCCTAGTGCCTAGGCGGCCACCTTTTCAAACATTGTTGATACTTACGTTGTTATATTGTTACCAGTCCAAATTCCTACATATTACAGAAATAAGTATCACCTGGATCACCAGTGGTATTTACCAATCAGCTCATCAGTAAACTTAATGAGGAGCAAGTAATGAATAACATCTAGATATATTAGGCATAAAAGCCCTCCAGTGCAACAGAAAAAATGCAATGGGACTTGGAAACCCCCAAAAAGGACTAACTATAGACTATTAGACTTACATTGATCACTAAATTCCAAGATGTTGCAAAGGTTTCACAGATAAAAAGATTCAAAGCATTGCACATACAAGAAAATTACACACACGTGTGGTCGAGAATGTATGAATCATTGCTGAGCCACTAAAATAGAAAAATAACTAAGGTGAAGGACGATACAGCATGCCCATCATTAGATGAAAATTGTCTAACACTTCAAAACAGAACAAACTTCCATGGGACCGAGAGTTTTTGTTGATTTTATTAAAATATATATATATATATCCATAACGCATAGGCTCCCCAAGTTCATCGATGCCTTCCTTCACAAATCACCCTACTAGCCGCCAGGTCACCTATTGATATAAACAATCCTTTCGTTAAACACATGCTGGCCTAAATTTTTATCCAAAAAAGTGCCCTTGACTAGGTTTGAGCTGCATGCCAGTATGATGGGGACATACCATGAAGCAGAATGGTTTCTCATTACAATAAAATCTTTGCATTTCATGATGGGGTTTCTCCTTCTGTAGCTCCCTTACCTGTCAATTACCCACCAAGCTTCATATAAGTTATATGAGACCCCAAGCCTAACACATTTTAATTATGTTCAAATTTTAGAGAAGCGAATTAACAGAGTAGAATTGAATATGTCATGCTTTTAATTTGGTAAATCAGATAGATACAGAGTTAGAGAAGAACAGTTTTATAAAATTAAACATCGGGTCCCACATAAGGGGAAATGTGTTTGACTTTGTTATAAAATCCTGGGGAGAAAACGTACATCGCCCATACTTCATTATCTGCTACATCATTTGTACCTTGTTTTCCGTTTTCCACTTCACAAAACTAATTTGTTTCTTCTAACTATTGGATTTTTCTTTCTAAGATTCCACGACTAATCTCACTACATAAAGGAACGTAGTTCACATTTACTTGAAAAAGAAGCTTGGATATCCAATAGAAAGCACCGATGTAAGTCTGGTACCACAACTACATATTTGGGCATGAATATGTATATCTTGTAAAGGCATTAGCCTCTTAAAAAATCCCAGGTGAGGTTTGCCTACATTACACCTTAGTGGTGAGACCCATACAATCCGGTGATGCGTTGTGGATCAGAATGCCCTTTATACTTTGAAAAGGAAATATGTATGTACAACCGATATGGTATAAGGGTGTGAAATGCAATGATTTTTATAAGTAGACAATCGGGGAAAACAGGGAGTAAGAGGCAGCCCCTGTAATGTGTCAATACTTAATAGTTCTTCAAATATATATACTCGTAATATTCTTCTGTGAGTTTATCACGTCTGTTAGATGTATTACACCAGATACATACACATCAGAACACATGCATCTACACTGCACTGCAGATTTTGGGGGTTCCGTATAGTTGGACATGGACAAAACAGATATTAGTTTTTAACCCAACAGTTTCAACTTTCATCGCAGAATGAACCTAAAATTAAGATGAGGATACAGACAATGGTATTCACTGCAGTCTTCTCAAGGGAATAAGATCTGAAAGCAGAGTAGTGCTAACCTCGGAAATTAGACTCAAATCCACAATTTGTCAAATGATCTGCTAGTTTCTCCCCCAACTGTTTTTGCCAGTTAGGAACAGCTTTGGCTTCAGAAACAGGCCATATAATTGCTGTCTCTGTTGTAAGATTAACACTAGCTGAAGAAACAAGTGGCTGTTTATACACATGACATACAATTAATTAGAGCTCCATGAAAAAAGAAATTTTGAAAGCATATTAGAATGGGCAGTTCGGGATGGGTGGATGTGGATGTTGAACTTCAAACACTGCATGATTAGAAGTTAAAAAAAAAAGATGCAAATCAAATATTATGCACATAATAGATAGAGAGTGGCATTGCCTTTTTCTCTAGGACCATCATTTCATTGTTTAAAAGCTTGGTTATTTGCCACCAAAAAATGCTTAACTTGCGCATTCTGGCTAGGTCGAACCAGGTATAGTTTCAGGGGTCATTAGTGCATTATTAAGTAGAACACAAAGAAAATGAAAAAGGGAAGATAAAAACAAAAATTTGAAAATAAAAAGGGAAGATAAAAAAAAACATAAATTCGCGGAATGCTTACTTGGCTTTCTAGAATCCTTTTCACGCTTGCTGCGCATCCTCCGCATGTCATTCCCTACAGAAATTTAAAGAACTTATATACTCCATACGTTTGAAAAATATAATTGGACAACAATGATACGTAAAATGAACTCCTTTTCAATGAACTTACACGGACGTCAAGGATGATGACTTCAGAAGATAAGCCGTGAGCTTCTTCACCAGCTGCTGCAATCACACTAGGATTCTCCTTGCCTCCCTCCGGTACTCCACCTCCTCCTCCGCCGCTGTCATTTCCAATAAAGCCACCATTTCCTCCATCTCCGGCGGAAAAGGAAGGCGCAGAGCTGGAGACACTCCGCAGTTCCCATCGAGCAGGCTGCAAGTCTCCAGATCTCAAAGTTTTCCCCGAACAAAGCGATCCGAGCCGGGCCCGGGTAAGGCGACTCAGAAGCAAACTATGACTCGCCGGTGTCGTAGAGAGACGGAGCTGGGAGTGAGAAAGTAACGGCATCCAATTCGACTTCAGAGATTTAGAGAGTGCTGTGAGAGACATTGTTGAATGTGCTGCTAGTAAGGTTGACTCCATGGTAGCACGAAATGTGAGCTGAGAGAAGAGACTGTGCGAGGCCGCGGGCTATTAGAATGCTGTTGCCAACAATTTATACTCCGTGCTTCCGTCGTGAGTTGGTGGACTTGGTTAGTTGGTGGTGCTCATTTATAATCCCTCTTCTCAAGAATAGGTACCCATACTATTGTAAAGCACTAGGGGTAGTGAAAAAGTAAAAGATATTCCCTCATACCCTCAATAATCTATATATATATTAATCCACTTAAGTCACTTTCCCGCTCTTGATCAGGGACATTTCTGTAAATACAACTACTCCTTCGGTTCTTACGAATTAGACTCGCATATTCTTTAAACCGAAATTAGGGCTCTATATTCCAAATTGCACAGACCTTCAACACCAGATTTATCCTACTTCAACTCCAAAGAGTCCATCAACACCTAGAGCTCTCTTTCGAACTCTTCTTCACCTTTGCAAAGCAAGGATAATCTCGCACGCTTTCGCTACCAAGGTTACAAGGATAATCTCGCACGCTTTCGCTTTGGATACTCCCGCATGCTTTCGCTATCAAGGTTAGTTCATTTTTTTACTTATGTTTTTATCCGATAAATCTAATGTAAAGTCGTATTGATTCCTCTTATTAGGTCTAATATTGATTTATCTCATTATTCTTTTTTCTAGAGTTCAATTTTGGGTGTTTAGACTATGGGTCAATCTATTTTGAAGGACTGAAATCAATTTGTTATGGTTGTATTTATTTCTACAGTGTATTGATTTTGTAGGGCAGAAATACATTTTGTTCTTTTATAAAGATGAAGACACGACTAAAGACATGTTTTTGTGTATGATTCACTCAATTGCTTTGAATTTGAGATGGAGTGTGAAAATATTCAGTTCTAAGATTTTCAGTTTTGGAGAGCCTTTAAGGTGTTTGTAAAAATGTCACAATGAGAGTTTTAGTTTAGAACCGTAGTCCTAATGTCACAATGAGATTTTTTTAGTCTTGAAGCATAGGGCTCAATCTCCCCCTCTATCTGGTGGATTTTTACGGACAAAAATAGCTACTCTAGGACATCTTTCCTTAAGCTATAACTCCAAGTTTTAGTTTTTTTCAAAATAAAGGTTTATGAATTTATCAACATCATTTGTCATTCTACTTTAGTGTTTTAACGATGAAACTCTGTTGAGAAGTACTTCTACTGCATAGTATTTCCATATAATTAAGTCTGACTAATAGTTGTAGTCAATCATTAAATTGACTAAAACACTTATTTCATCTTTTTATTAAGGAACATTTCGATAAATTTTTTTTTTGATCTTTTTGTTGGACAACTCAAAGGAATTGAATCTAGAATTCTTTTGACCTCTTCTTCACCTTTGCAATAAGTGCCTCTTGATGAAAATTGTAGGCACCACAACTTTGCAGTCCAAATTGTGCTCAAATGAATGTTGTGAGATTGCCAAGGTAAATCATAACTATTTGACACTTAGAATAGTAATGCTTCTTGAATTAAACTATGGATTTTCTGACAAGTGACAAAGATGCTCCTTTGTGTCTTAAAAGCTGCTTTTTCTTAATCTACTACGTAGTATCTTAATAGTTTATGTTTATTTGTGATGCATTGTCTCATGTAAGCACATATCTGTTCATCATTTCATTTTCTTAAATAAACTAAACAATATTTTTTTAAAACTGACTCTTTCATTTATATAATTATCCTCTATTATCAGATTACTAATAGATTCCTCATACTAAGTTCCTTCTGTTTTTGCAATCTGAAGCTGAGATTATTTGATCAATACAAAAGGAATGGACTAGCTGAAATCAAACAAAGAAGTTGTCAAGATAAATGGTATGGATGCTAATTATCCCCCCTTTTCTATTTGGTGTTTTTATCAGTAAGTTTGTTCTCAACCTTCTCAGGTTATTGGATGTCCCCGAAGGGACTACCTTCCTTCTCAGGTTATTAATCATCTGTAATGACATTCTTGACAATGGTGTGTTCCATGCAAACCCTCGGCTGTTAGACGTGTAATACTATAACAAAGTCTGCCAAAAGATTGTGTTTCCTTTTCAGATTCCATTTTCTCTCTCTTCAAATTGGATTCTCTTTTCATTTTTTCCTGCTATATTCTCTTTAGATTGGATCAGGTTCTTTAAATTTTGTCAGCACCGGAATGGTATTAAGTTCTAAGAGTCTCAGTTTTAGAGTGCCTTTAAGGTGTTTGTAAAAATGTCACAATAAGATTTTTAGTTTTGAATCGTAGTCCTAAAACTCCCCCCTCTATTAAAAGTGAAGCTCTTTTTCAGAATGTGTGAAATAATCTATAGAATTTCTTTACGCTTTGTTACAAACAGAACCACCTCATGTTAGAATAATGAAAAAACTTGAATACATTACTCAATGTTTCGAATGAATTCCTTTGCATCCTTAAGGATTGATTCTTATGTTTGTATTGCTTTTCATTTTGTATTGATTTTGTAGGGCTGGAATGAACTTTGGTTTTTCCCTTGTGTCCTGGAGATCTAGGTTATGGAGTTCAGTCTATTTTATCGCTCCTCTCTCTATGTGTTCAGCCATGCATGATTGCGAGCAACTTGCCCCTCTTAGGCTCTTACCAGGTATTTTATTTCTCTCTGCATTTCAGCTGAAGTTTTCATGGGATGGAAAATGTCATCTAACATTTGGATTATAAGCTTATTTTATCCCAAACTATCATCAAATTCACAAATCTATCATCAACTTCATCTTTTTCAACAATTATGCTTTTCGGTTTGGTTTTTTCCAAATTACACATTTTTATAAATACGAATAAGATATAAGCAATTCGTGTTTGTAAACTCAAAACTTCAAAGAAATGAAAAATATGAAATATTAATATGCTTTTCTAAATGTGTTTTACTAATCCATCGTTTGAAAGTGTAATTGTGATTAAAATTGAAGTTTTAGTCTTTTTTTTTAATAAAAGTGAAAGTATGAGATATATTTGTGAATTTGATCATAGTTGGGGATATATTTAGCTAATAATCCTTATATTAATGGAATTTAAAGGATTTGTACTCATAGGCTTCTGAAATTAAAAGCAACATCAGATGTTCAATGCATCAATAAAACTCTACTTCTATTTTTTCGGATCCAGCTTTGGATGCTAAAAAGGATGCATATATAAATGACCTAAAAACTGCATATTCATTTGTGTAAATGCGGCTTCAGGGGATAAATTTAATCTATATTTAATTAACTCACTTAAATTTTCTCCCGCCTACTATTGAGGCATTTACCTGCCACACCAATCCTTGGAGAAATATATGATTCAGATAGTACTCTTGGGCAACAAATCTAGGAAGTATATTTTTAGCTAACGCTGTAAATTTTGGTTTATACAGCGGAAAGATATAGAATAAGGTCCCTAACTCCCTATCGTTGCTTCATTAGCAGGCTATTCTTATCAATGCAGTCTATATTTCCTCAGGAATTCTCTTTTGTGAATATTTTTGTACATTTAACATGCTTTTGGTAGGAAATTTGTATTATAAAATATAAAATGCATAGTGCATATATCTAAAAAATTCTGAATTCTTCGGCACGATTCCAACATTTAAGGGATGGCTTGAATGTATTACATTTATTTTCATGAGTACCAATGTACATAGCAAAAGGTAGGTTTTCAGTACAGGGTATTGAGTAAAAAACGAACCATATTTATGCACTTCATTGCAAACCGTGGGTTTGCCACCCATGAAATGAATGATCACTTCTTCAATCTTTCCTCTTGGATTGAATGTTACTGTTCTAGAAATCCCTTGTGGTTTTCTGGTAATATATATTGGCAGCATTTTGGATTTAAAGTTGTTCTGGAAAGCGATTATCACAACTTTCAACCATAATGCACCAATGTGTGCCATAATACTTCCATCTGTTGTGCATTAGTATTCTATCTGAATTATACCTTACCAGTTTTCCAGTTTCTGTCACTTATCAGGATTTAAGGTTTTATAAGCAACAATGGAAGGGAAGAGAAAACCGATGTTTTTGTTTGCTCTTTCTTATTGGGCTAATGTTTTTAACATATCAACGATAAGAACATAAAAGAGCTGTTTTTCTCTAATCATTGCCTTCTCTTCTTAATTGGTCTATGATAATAATTAGGTGAAATTTTATTTTCAAGAAGAAAAAGTTTTAGTTCTCTTCTATTTAAAACCTCTCTCCATGAGCTGCATATTCATAAAGTAATAGCAAGAAAGATTTTTTTACTTCCAACTGTACTTCTATTCATAGTCCTATTTGATGTAATATCTTCTAAAAGAACATAGTTAGTCGAGGGAAGTCTAGGCCTAGGCAGAGATTTGAGAGCGTGGGGTTGGTTATTAGGACCGGCGCACTCAGATTTGGTATTTTTATTTTGGTCATTTCATATGTAATTCTTTGTATTTGTATGGTAATGTGGAGTGTTGTCATAACCCTCACATTATGGTTTCTGCCGCTTTTCTTCTAACCGGCATTTCACTCTTATGATGAAGGTCATTTGAGAACGAGGAGCTACATGTTGAGTTTTGGGGCCGCCATAGCAACGCATGAATCAGGATGGATGGAGGCTGGAGCAGAGCCTGAAAGGTGACTGGAGACGGATAGTCGTAGCTCGTCTCGCTCAGTTGCTCGCTAGCCCTTCAATCTTCGCACTTTGGTCTTTCGCAGAATCGCAGTTCAAGCCACTTGTCCCCTTCGCTTCACGCCTTCACTTAGTTCACCCCTGCACCCTTTTTCTTTTGCTATTGGGCTACCTAATACGGAGTAGTAGTAATACTACTACTACTAAAAAACAGTGGGCCCTTCCAATTTTTTTGGGCCCTATGCAGTTGGGCTGTCCACACCCCCGACCCGGCCCTGATCAGGAGTAAGGTGAGCGCTTTTTATGCCTAAAGCGAGGGAGTACTCTATTGCCGTGAGTGCGCCTCATGACTTTGTATTGAATACCTTTGAGGATTTGAGTACTACAAAGGGATCAAATAATGTATGCAATTATTAGTAATAAAATTTCATCTAATTGTTTTGAATAAAATATGTTTATCAAATTTGGTGTATGTAATAGAATAGTTTGTGTTTAAAAAATACTATACCTTCATATATGTGCGTTTTGAAAGACATTCAATTATCGGGGTTTGATAAATGAATTATTTGTTTGGGTTTTTAAAATGGTTCCATACACCCAAAGGTGTGACATATTTGGTTTTGCTAAGATTAATCATAATCTAAAAGTGCTATTTCAACTATTAGAATTTTGGTAAAAAAAAAATATTAGAGTTATATTTTTTTAAAAAAAACTACTAGAATTATGGTACAATTACTTTTCTTTCAAACAACTCTCAAGTCTCAATCATAATAAGTCAAATATAATTAATGTGGGATAGTTTTGTATCACTACTAATTAATTTTTTTGGAAGAACTACTAATTAATTTAATATCCCGTGCAACGCACGGGTAAAAGACTAGTTCTAAAAATAATACTGTACATTATTACAACTACTTTTTTTGGATTTATCCTACATTCCATCACATTATTCCACTGTCTTCCCATCATATCCTCAATAATTCATATCTCCCTTTCACTATTCTTAATCTACCTACTTTTGAAATGGAAAGGTTTTTAAGTTACGGAGGTAGTAATGAGTAAAAGTAAACTAACCAAGTTAAAAAGTCAACACTTAGAAATCGCGGCCATCTAGGATTTATCCCTAGCAGATTTTTCGACGGCTTTGGCCTGAGCACGTGGTTCGTGACGTATCGATCAAGAAGGGGAGTCCCCGGCCTTCAGCAGAGGTCGTCGCGGGTAAGCAGTTGCACTCGGGAGATCGATTAGCATGCCTTCCCTCAGCGTAGGGTCTGAAACCTCCACCGATTTTGTGATGTTCGGACGATGGCAAGCAAAGGAGATCGAAGCGGAAACATAGAGAAGGTGTTGCGGATGATTCGCCGGGGCTGATATCGCTAAGGAAGGAGCAGGAGTGGGGCGGTGTCTCCTCACAGTCAATCGGAGGGAATCATGGCGAGGATGACGAGCGTTCCGTGGCTGATCCGTATGGGCGAAAGAAGACGAAAAGATGTTGATTCGTCCCCCTCCCGGACCGCCGCCATGGAGGAATTGTGCGACTAGGGTTTGGAAGGCTATCTCTATTTTGTTTTAGCTTGTTTGTGTTTTTACTTCGAACGTCATTTTGTTTTGTTTGTCACGTACGTTTATTTATGCAAGACTCTTACATTATGTAGGGCTGATGATGGTTTTGTTCTGGATACGTTTGGCTCATTTAGACCCATAACAGGATCAACGAATCATATTGCTTTGTCTAGGCTGATTGGTTCTCAGGCTGATTCCAGGGTCGGTGGCTGGAAGTGTTTCTTTTATCCCTTTTGTCCCTTGTTGAATGTTTTATGATCAATATAATCCATCTTGTTCTAAAAAAAATGTGTAAAAGTATGAAAAACGAGAAAAAAAATAGATAAAGTAAACTCACCAAAAAAAGGAAATGTATGGAACTTTTAAATACAGCCCAAAAAGAAAAGTGTGGTGAGCTTTTAAATACGGAGGAAGTAATAACTAGTTTTAATATCCTATCTACTTACTTAATAATAAAGTACAACCTTCTTAATAATTGCTATTGAGTACAATTTATCAATTATCTAATTGCTATTGAGTACAATTGATAAATTATACATATTTGCTATTAAGTACAAAAAACGTTTAACACACATTTAATACTCATCAATAATGCAAGACTTTACATTCCATATTCTACGTATATATATACTCTATATATATACTCCGTATCTCATTGCATATACAATATACAGAGTAGTTTAAAATATGGAATATTATATATTCTATCTACTTCCCTTCCAAATTTTGAAAAGGCTAAGTGCCCATTTGATAATACCAAGATCGGGTGAATCAGATGATTCTGCTGAAATTTATGAAATTTTGGCTAGCTTGGCTGAATTGACTAATTCTGTTGATTTGTGAAAAAATTAATGAAATAATGAAAAAATTACATGTAAAATAGCTAAAATGGTCCTCTATAGTAACTTCAACCAATAAAACCAGAAAAATAACTCTAATCTTACCTTTTCTTATTATTACACAATTCAGCGCATGAAATCGAAAGTTACGAGCCCGTTTGATAGCACCAAAATATGTTATTTTGGCTGATTCTGCTGAAATTTATGAAGTTCTGGCTGAAGTGGCTGCATTGGCTGATTCTGTTGATTTAAGAAAAAATTATTTTTAAAATATATTTTATTAATAAAATAAATAAAAAATTATATGTAAAAATTGCTAAAATAGTCATCTACAGTAACTTCGGCCAATAAAGCCAAGAAAGTAACTCAAACCTTACTTTTTCTGCTTATTATACAATTCAGCGTGCGCAAGCAAAAATTACGTGTTTGATGAAAAAGTTGGTTGATAAGTCTGATAAGCCGAAAACAGTGTTGCCAAACGGCCTCTACGTGTTTGGCGAAAAAGCCGGCTGATAAGCATGATAAGCCGAGAAACAAGGTTACCGAACGGGCTCTAAATATATTTATGTCAACGTAAACGCATTGACTCCGTGTATATGTGTTTATATAGATGCAAAATGTGTTTATATATATGAAGTTTTTAAAACATACGAGTATAATTCAACACTTTAGTCCTTCACGGGTCTTTGCCAATGTTAAAATATAATCACAAATTCTTTTTTGATGTACAAAAGAAGTACGGAGTATAATCACAGATATATAAAATATATTTGTGGTAAACTTTTTAAAACCTTAAGGTCTTAAACCCAAGAAAGTATTCCATAAAGTATTATTTAAATACTTTGATTATCTGAGTCCACTATATAGTCTCATGAAATCAATTCTTAATATAACCCTGAATTATACTTATCAAACAAAAATGTCTAACACGTCTATTCGTACTTACAAAGAGCCATATATATAAAATTAAAAAAATTGTGGTATATATATATATATATATATATATATATATATATATATATATATATATACACATGTCCTACTCAATTAAAACATCTATGAAATTATAAGAGATATTTTCTATATTTGTATTATCACAATTTTTAGTATATAAGAAAACAAATATAATGGACAATATATTTGTAAATATATTCTCTAATAAAGAATCCAGACTTTTATTTCTTAATACATGTTAATAATTAAGTAATTGCAATTAGTAGAGATATATAATAACGACATATCATGCTTATGGCGCATTGTGACCGTTTGATGACCCTGTTTTTCGACTTATCAGGCTTATCAACCAACTTTTTCAACAAATACGTAATTTTTTGTTTTTACGTGCGGAAATGTGTAATAATAAGAAAAAGTAAGGTTGAAGTTACTTTTCTGACTGTTTTGGCTTAAGCCACTGATGATCATTTTAGCTATTTTTCATGTAATTTTTTCTTTATTTTTTTAATAAAATATATTTTTGATGTATTTTTTCATAAATGAGCAGAATCAGCCAATACAGTCGGAACTGCATAAATTTCAGCAGAATCAGCCGATTTCGGTGTTACCAAACGGGGTCTGTATGTTTTTGAAAAGTCCGTCTCTTATACTTCCCGTATTCATTTTTAGCTACACCATTTCCATTGTTTACGTTTAATTTACCAACACTCTACTTAATACATGTGGGTCTAGCCCTCCCACATGTAATCTCATTCTTCTCTTTGAATAAACTATGGAAATTTTCTGTTTATATATATATTGTTTAAAAGGATGATTATTGGTTTTGGGGAGACTTTAGACAGAGAGTGTACATTGTCTTGAAGGGAGTTAGGGAGAGTTGATGCGATTATAGTGACGGTTACCGCTTCACATCGTAGAGATCATTGCTCAGTTCTTCTTCTCACAAAGAATATGATACTAATGACATACTTCATATCGAAATGGTTATAACATACAAACAATTGAACACTTTACTAAGTGAGATGTTAAGGTAAGAGATTATGATATTAGAGTAGAAAATGATGGGTTTTTAGACCTGAACATCATGAGCGATTTTTTAAGGTATAATATAAGCATATAACCATAGCATAACTATACTTGAAAGCACATATCCTACGTTATCAAATCATTCTAAAACATACACCCGGGGCAACGCCCGGGTAAAACACTAGTTGTGTATTCTATTTATACTACGTAGAATAAAATACAAAATTTGTGTAAATTGACATACGGCAGAGTGTCAATAAAGAAAAAAAGTGATAATAAAAAAAATGAACAATACGGAGTATCTTTATCTTTATATAATATAAAGTAACAGTCGCTGCACCACAACTGGAGGGAAAAATCCTGTCCATTTCAAGGGGCATGATTGGAAATCCTTATGCAAAGTTCTAAAATGCTGCCTATGTTACCAAGTACTCCGTATTAAATTGTGCAAAGTATTGCTACCAATTTTAGTCTTTTAGTCCATAAATGTAATCATTCATGTAGGCCCTACAATAATAAAAAAATCCATAAATAAAAACATTCCATATATTTGGTTATGAGTATAGAATGCAAAATACACGTATGATTTATTTAAAGTTCCATACCATTTCACAACTAAAAAAATCACACATAAATTCCTACTCAAAATTTTAGATTTCATTAGGAAACTTTCCGTTAAGAAATAAACACATTTTATTAATATTTTCATAAAACACAACCATTAAACATTGCTACTAATAAATTCAACTTTAAAATTCATAACCGTATAATTTCACTATAAAAATATGAAGTACAGTATTTCATTAGGAGATTTGGCTTTGTTGAAATTAAATCAATATCAATACAGTAATTCAATCATATAAATCTGATCATAAATAAGTCCATGTATGAGGAAAATTTTTGCTAAAATAATATTTTCAATTCTTACTTTATGAAAAAATATACTCCGTATAATTTAGCAAGCCTAATTTATTAAGAAATCTTTCGGGTTGCCCAATGTTTAATTCGTATGCAAAATGTATGCACAATATATTTATACACTATAATAATTTAGACTGATACAAAATTGACATCTGATC